GTTAGTGCTGGTTCTGATGGACCAGGTGTGAGTTAGTGCTGGTTCAGATGAACCAGGTGTGAGTTAGTGCTGGTTCTGATGGACCAGGTGTGGGTTCAGATGGACCTGGTGTGTGTTAGTGCTGGTTCTGATGGACCAAGTGTGGGTTAGTGTTGGTTCAGATGGACCAGGTGTGGGTTAGTGTTGGTTCAGATGGACCAGGTGTGGGTTAGTGTTGGTTCAGATGGACCAGGTGTGGGTTAGTGTTGGTTCAGATGGACCAAGTGTGGGTTAGTGTTGGTTCAGATGGACCAAGTGTGGGTTAGTGGTGGTTCAGATGGACCAGGTGTGGGTTAGTGGTGGTTCAGATGGACCAGGTGTGGGTTAGTGGTGGTTCAGATGGAACAGGTGTGGGTTAGTGGTGGTTCAGATGGAACAGGTGTTGGTTAGTGGTGGTTCTGATGGACCAGGTATGGGTTAGTGTTGGTTCAGATGGACCAGGTGTGGGTTAATGTTGGTTCTGATGGACCAGGTGTGGGTCCAGGTGTGTAAGGTGAGCTCTGTATGAACCTGCTTCTCCTCTCAGAGCTTTCTCCACCATCACTCCTCTCTCCTCCAGCTCGCTCTGTTTCACCTCCACCTGCTGCAGCTGCCTCTGGATCATCTGAAACAGAACCAACTGAACTTTACTCCACTGCCTCTGATTCAGAACTGGACCTGGACTGACTCTGTCCTCAGGTGACATCACCTGGGCCTTGTGCAGCCTTTTCAGCTCTTCCTGTTTGGCCTGTCTTCTAGCAGCTCTCTGAACACTTCGGGTGATCTTGGAGTCCAGGTCTTGGTCCTCGGGCTCCTTCTGAAACATGCTCTCCTTCACGCTCAGACTAGATGTTTCCTTTGGGTGAACCAGAATCCCCACTACCTCTGTAGGACACGAGGACTGTCCATCAGAGTCCTGGACTCGGTCCTTTGTGGCTTGTTTCTGAAGCAACAGTGAAGATGTTACAGAAGATGAGGTGGGACCTGGCCTGCAGGATCTCCAGAACCATTAGTGAAGCCCATGTGTGTCTGTACCTTGGTGGGGTAAGATCGTCTGAAGGCCAGGGCATGAGGGACATAGATCTGCTGAGAAACAAGATGACAAACTAGAAAAACAAGAATCTGTTTAGGTTTAACTCAAGAGGGATGAGTCCAGCTCAGTCCAGAGACCACTGAGGTCCAACTAAAGCACAGGTCCAGACAGAATGTTCAGGAACAGATCTCTGGAGGGAGAACTTCTTTTTACCACAACTCAAGTTAAAGATGTAAGTTTTAACTGTTGTAATGTTTCAAACATTCATGTTGAGATCAAAATGACAAGGTTTAGGTCATGGGTCCAGGTCTTCTTTTAAAGTTCTGGTTCAACATAAAACCCGTCTGCTATCATCAGCTGATACCTCTTTGTTCGCCTCTTCTTTCTCCTCCACGGTGACTTTCTGGATTTCAGACATAAGATCCAACAGCTCCAAATGCAGCTGCAAACATCAGGAGAACTTCAGAAAAACAGCACCAATCAGAGTCTAAAACCAAGTGATAGTCTGATCCCCCACACAATCCAACCACTATGGAGCACAAGCCAAGGTATCTCTGGTTCTGGTCCCAAGTCCAGGTAAATTTTGAGGGTTGTGTCAGAAAGGGAATCCAACATCAAACACTTTTGCCAAAACTAATGTGAGTTCATCAAAGTAAAACCATACCGGATGAGTCGAGGCCCACGTAAACAACAACTGTCACCGGTGCTGTTGACAAACAGGGAGCCAGAGGAAATTGTGCTACTGTTAGTTGAAGACCACGAGGAGGGAAACATGTCAGGAGACAGAGGAGAGGAGGAAAGTGAAGAATGTAGAACTGAGGGTTGCAACTCTAAATGTGGGGACAATGACAAGCAAAGGTAGAGAGCTGGCTGACATGATGCTGAGAAGGAAGGTAGATGTTTTATGTGTCCAAGAGACCAAGTGGAAGGGCAGCAAGACTCGCAGCATTGGAGCAGGGTTCAAATGTTTTATCATGGTGTGGATAGAAAGAGGAATGGAGTAGGGGTGGTCCTGAAGGAGGAGTTGACAAAGAATGTAGTAGAGGTGAAGAGAGTGTCAGATAGGGTGATGTGTCTGAAGATGGAAGTATAAGGTCTGATGCTAAATGTTGTCAGTGATTATGCTCCACAGGTTGGATGTGATGTGGAGGAGAAAGATCTGGATGATGTGATAGAGAGTATTCGCAGGGAGGCGAGAGTGGTGATAGGAGCAGACCTGAATGGACATGTTGGTGAAGGAAACAGAGGATGAGGAAGTGTCAAGGAAAGAAACCAGGAAGTAAAGATGGTAGATTTCACCAAGAGAATGGAAATGGCTGTAGTCAACACTTATTCCCAAAAGAGGGAGGAGCATAGAGTGACCTATAAGAGTGGAGGAAGGAGTACGCAGGTCGACTACATTCTGTGTAGAAGTGGAAACCTGAGGGAGATTGGAGACTGTAAGATTGTGGCAGGGGAGAGCGTGGCCAGACAGCATCGGATGATTGTGTGTAGAATGACCGTTGTTATGAAGAAGAGAAAAAGAGTAAAATCAGAGAAGAAGACCAAATGGTGGAAGATGAAGAAGGAAGAATGTTGTGAGAAATTCAGAGAGGAGCTGTTAAAGGCTCTGGGTGGTAAGAAAGAGCTTCCAGATGACTGGACTACTACAGCAACAGTAATTAGAGAGACAGGTAGGAAGGTACTTGGTGTGTCATCTGGACAGAGAATGGATGATAAGGAAACCTGGTGGTGGAATAGTGAAGTGCAGGAAGATGTTCAAAGAAAGAGGTTAGCCAAGAAGAAATATGACAGAGAGAGGACTGAAGAGAGGAGACAGGAATATAAGGAGATGGGACGTAGAGCAGAGAGGGAGGTAGCTAAGGCAAAGCAGAGGGCGTACAATGAGTTGTATGAGAGGCTGGACACTAAAGAGGGCGAGATGGACTTGCACCAAATGGCGAGACAGAGGGATCAGGCTGGAAAGGATGTGCAGCAGGTTAGGCTTGTTAAAGATTGGAATGGTAATGTTCTAACAAGTGAGGAGAACGTGACGGGAAGATGGAAGGAGTACTTTGAGGAGCTAATGAATGAAGATAATGAAAAAGAAAGAAGAGTAGAGATCATAGAAACTGTGCAGCAGGAAGTGGGAAATATTAGTGAGGGTGAAGTCCAGAAAGCTCTGAAAAGAGTGAAGAAGTTGAAGGCAGTAGGACCTGATGACCAGTGGAGGTTTGGAAATGTCTTGGAGAGATGGCAGTGAGGTTTTTGACTCAAACATTCAATGGCATATATGAGGGTGAGAAAATGCCTCAGGAATGGAGAAGAAGTGTGCTGGTGGCCATTTTTAAGAACAAGGGTGATGTACAGTGTTGAAGCAACTACAGGGGAATTAAGTTGATGAGCCACACAATGAAGATCTTGGAGAGAGTTGTGGAAGCAAGACAAGAGGTGACCATTTGTGAGCAGCAGTATGGTTTCATGCCAAGAAAGAGCACCACAGACGCCACCTTTGCTTTGAGGATGCTGATGGAGAAGAGGGTCAGAAAGAACTCCATTGTGTCTTTGTGGATTTAGAAAAAGCATCTGACAGGAGGACAGCAGGACATGTTAGACTGGTACAGGACATGTATGAGGACAGCAGGACATGTATGAGGACAGCAGGACAGTGGTGAGATGTGCTGTAGGAGTGACAGATAGCTTCAAGGTGGAGGTGGGAGTGCATCAAGGATCAGCTCTGAGCCTCTTCTTGTTTGCTCTGGTGATGGACCAACTAACAGATGAGGTCAGGCAGGAATCCCTGTGGACTATGATGTTTGCAGATGACATTGCGATCTGTGGTGAGAACAGGGAACAGGTGGAAGAAAACTTGGAGAGGTGGAGGTATGCACTTGAAAGAAGAGGAATGAAAGTCAGTCGTAGTAAGAGTCCATGTGTGTGAATGAGGGAGAGGAGGTGGAACAGTGAGGCTGCAAGGAGCAGAGGTCAAAAAGGTGCAGGCCTTCAAGGACTTGAGGTCCACTGTCCAGGAAAATGGGGAATGTGGTAAAGAGGTGAAGAAGAAAGTCCAGGCAGGATGGAGTGGATGGAGAAAAGTTTCCAGAGTGATTTGTGACAAAAAGGGTGTCAGCAAAGGTCAAAGGAAAAGTTTACAAGACAGTGGTGAGACCAGCTATGTTGTCTGGTCTGGAGACAGAGACATGGACAAAAAGACAGGAGACAGAACTGGAAGTGGCAGAAAGAACATAGGACACAAAGGACAGAGTGAGATGGAGGAGGATGACTCACTGTGGTGACCCAAGAAGAGAGTCAACCTAAGACCCAAACTGTACCTTGAGTGAAGGACGAAAAGACTGCCACCTCCTCTCAGATAATCTGATCTCTGATTGGTTACTGCAGGACCAGGAGGTGGAGTCTGATTGGATTATCATGTCAGGTGGATTCTTACGTTGTTTTGGGGTTTCAATGAACATCTCTGGAGCAGAGTCGATGAGTCCAGATCAGACGCCTCTCCAGTCACTTGGGGAAAAACAAGTTTTATTATTGTGACATATTTATGACATCATCACATTATTGCGCTATCACCTGTAGCTCTTGTCTGATGGGCAGTTTTCTTCCTCAGCGTCTCTGCAGGTAAAGCCCCACCCTTCTTCTTCACCTTCCTGTTTCCAGAGAACATGGTCTTCCACAGAGATCTGGCTCCGCCTCCTTCCACCTCTACCTTTCCAGGAAGAGGAGCCTCTATGAGCCCTGTCAATTGTAGATGATGAGCTCCACCCCCAACATGCAGAGGAGGCAGCAGGTGATGGGGGAGACTCTGAGTTCCTCTGGGCTTTCTCCCCCTTTTACCACCATCTGATGCATCCTCCTTTATCCCCGCCTCCTGATCTTCTGCCTTCAGCTTAGGGAGAGTTTTTTTCTGTGGCAGTTCAGGTGTGATGTCATCAAAGGAGCCCCGCCCCCCGCCATCAGACGGCACCGTCTCTGTGACGATGACAGATGAAAGCGGGGCTTCGGCAACCATCAGCTCGGGGGCGGAGTCAGATGAAGTAAAGAAGGTGGCGGTAGACGGAGTCGATGCGGTGGGCGGAGTCACAGAGGAGGTGATGGAGGGCTGGAAGCTGGGGGAGGAGTCTTGCTCCAGCATGTCAGAGGTGTGAGAAGTAAACTCCTCCTCTGAGGGGGAGGGAAGAGAGACAGGAAATTCATGTTTTAAAATAAACAAAATAAAATAAAGATAGAAGATAATATTTTTTAAAAAATTGTAATAAATAATAAAATATTAAAAAAGGGAAATATATATCTAAAAAAAATAAATACAAAGAAGACAAAGACAGCTAAAGAAAAAAACTTCAGTTTTTAGATTTATTTTATTACTGTTATTATTATTATTATTATTATTATTATTATTATTATTATTATTATTATTATTATTGTTTGTTCCTTGAAAACTAAGCTGTGGACAAAAAAAGACGATCACCAAAGGCCGGATTAGACAATAAAAATGATTTAAAATTTAATTCTGTTGTTGGTGTTTAATACATTTAAACTGTAAATCTTGGTTCCAGAGTGATTGTTGTGTCATAAACAGCCTCATGTTTGTGTTTGTTTACTTTGTTGGCTGATGAAACAAACTGTTGATGAGAATCTAAATCAAGTGTTTTTTTGAATGGAGTCTGGTTGGATCTGGTTCTACCTTCCTCCTCTGACAGCAGACAGAGACCCGAACGAAGCTCCGCCTCCCAGGGGCTGAACTCCCCCTCTACCAGCAGGGGAGACACACAACAACACATCACAACAACAAGTCATACAAACAACAACAACTAGTCGTAATAACAACACATCACAACAACAACAACAACAAGTCATACAAAAAACAACAACAACTAGTCGTAACAACAACAAGAAGTCACAACAACAATAACACATCGGGATAATTTTAAACAGCTTAATTTAAGCTCACCGTCACTGGACTCCTCCTCACTGCCTTCCTCCTCCTCCTCCTCCTCCTCCTCCTCCTCCTCCTCGTCCTCCTCCAGAGTTTCGCTCCAGGCAGACGTCACCTCCTCAGAGGAAACATGAGGTGGACCTCCTCCCTCCTCTGAACTGAGTTTTAACATTAAAAGCAGTTTATTCACTTCATAAGGAAAAATTATAAAACTTTGATGTGCGACAATAAAAATAAAAATGAGTTCTTTGTGCCGTCTGAGACGTCATTTTAAGATTTTATTTGACAGTTTTGGCCTTCTTGGCCTTCCGTACTTTTCCAGTTTTGCAGATACAGTCTAGTTCTCATGGATTTATTTAATTTAAACATAAGTTTTTATGAAGATGATCAAAATAAAGTAGAAGCTGTTAAATGTCAGATGAATATCTGTCCTGACAGTTTTTGTCCCTCTCGACCTTCCATACAGTTCTGACCTGCACCTGAAGTGGACCTGGTGGTCTCCACTCAGGTTGAAGCGGTTCAGGGTCTCCTCAGAGACCTCCTCTGGTTCCTCCTGCAGCTTCTCCTTGGAGCTCCGTCTGTAGATCTCCAGCTCAATCCTCTCCATCACAGAAGCAGCTGCAGACACACCAAGGCAGCCACGCACACACACACACACAAACACACACACACTAAAGCCCACAGTGATTCGGGTTTGAGGAGAACCTTCAGCAGAGCAGGTATGAAGACTGACGGACAGGTGAGCTCACCTGAAGACCGCCGGCGCTCCTCTGTGATCACAGAGTCTGGGAGAGAAGGAGGCGACGTCACGGACGCCTGGAACCACAAGGACCGTCAGATGCCAGTTGTTCATTCAACCAGAACCATCAGGAGGTTCTGGTCTAGAACCATCAGACGGTTCTGGTCCGGAACCATCAGGAGGTTCTGGTACACAGTTTCTGCTCAGAGTAAAGGTTCTTCTCACCAGTGATGTTCTCTGTGAAGCAGTCGGTCTTCTCCTCACAGCCGGTGCGCTCAGCTGACAGTCTGGATGCTGGAGACAGTAGAACCTCCCTGAGACAGACAAGACAACTGGTAAACAGTAAGAACCAGGTTCAGGTTCAGGGGTTCAGGTCAGGGGACAGGTTCAGGAGGATGAGTCACTGACCGCTGCTCCGGTCGAAGGTGTACGCAGCCGGTCTGAGGGCGTCTCCGCAGGACGCGCAGCAGAAGCAGCTACGATGGAAGAACAGGCCTTCAGCGCTCAGACGCTCCATCACATAAAGCTTCTGCTGACAGAAGCAGCAGACGGCGCTGCCGCCGCACACCTGCAGGTCCAGAAGACGAAACACGAGACGGTAACGAGAAATACTCCACAACACACGAGTTGACTTCACTGGATGACTCTCAGCTACTACCTCACTGCATTTCAGCTCGTGTCCAAAATGGACAGAGGTAGAGACATTCTTGTGTTTGCTAATGTCAGTTGGCTGTGGCAGCCATCTTGGATCAGTCTGACTCCAAACGTTAAAGACAAGCAGACGTTCTTCTGTACATTACTTTAAGAAGGTTTCAACAAATCCTGTGGTGGTTCATGAGATATTTTGCTAACAGATAGACAATGACATGATAATTGGGTGAAGGACCCGACAGAACCAAACTACAGAATCTCCCCTGACCCATCATTCAGACAGACAGACAGACAGACAGACAGACAGACAGACAGACAGACAGACAGACAGACAGACAGCTACAACAAGACATTGACCGTCCTTAGTCTTAACCAACACAACCAGAGTTTGGAACCTTTCAAGGATTGGTCTCTCAGTCTAATCAAAACTTGATCCAGTTTCTGTTTTTATTCTTCTGGTTTTACAGTCCAGGAGTAAGAAGTTCCTCTGTTCTGGGGTTCTACGTAACAAAATATTAAACAGGAGAACCTACATGTTCTGCAAAAACAGAGAGAGAATGCTGAAGAAGTTGAACGACTGCTGAAGAAGTTGAACGACTGCCGAAGGAGCTGAACGACTGCTGAAGAAGCTGAACGACTGCCAAAGTAGTTGAACGACTGCTGAAGGAGCTGAATGACTAATGAAGGAATTGAACAACGGCTGAAGGAGCTGAACGACTACAGAAGAAGCTGAAGGTCTGCTGAAGGAGCTGAACGACTGCCGAAGGAGCTGAATAACTACAGAAGAAGCTGAAGGTCTGCTGAAGGAGCTGAAGGAGCTGAAGGACTGCTGAAGGAGATGAAAGACTGCTGAAGGAGTTGAATGACAGCCGAAGGAGCTGAACGACTGCCTGAAGGAGCTGAATAACTACAGAAGAAGCTGAAGGTCTGCTGAAGGAGCTGAAGGACTGCCGAAGGAGCTGAACGACTGCCTGAAGGAGCTGAACGCTTGTTGAACGAGTTGAATGATTGTTAAAGAAGCTGAACATTTTGAAGCACGAATGGCTGAAAAAACTGAAAATATACAGACGAGGATAAAATCCAAAATCACTGACTCAGCCTTCAGGCTCGGGTCTGGAGTTTACCAGGTTCTAAGAGGTTCTAAGAGGTTCTAACATGTTTCAGAGAGGGTTCTGAGGGGGTTCAGGAACTGGAACTTTTTTGCAGGTCTGTAAAGTTTTGTAGGAAACTGGTGGAACTTTTTTAAAGATGATCTTGTTCAGGAGGGTTTTTGGACCCTGGTTCTGGTGTTGGTTTGAGGGGTTTGGAGTCCAGCTGAACAAAGTCCTCAGTTCTCCCTACAGGCTTCTGATCACATGATGTCCTACTGGGACCAAACTGAGGACAGGTACAGCCAGAGGGCACAACAAACAGAGTCCTCTCCTAAAGACCTGGAACCAGATAGACCAGGAGGGTCCAGCTGGTCCAGCGCGTCAGGTAGTGTTCACGTTGGTTTCTGTACCTGCTCGTCTCTGCTGGAGGCACTCTGAGACTTGATCCTCTCTTTGAACCGGAAACTCATCTGCTCCTGCTGGAGGGTTCGCTTTTTCTGACAGAGACAAAAGAACGGTCAGTCTGGTCCAAACTCAGGGGGTTCATGGGTTCTGATGATGCAGGAGGCTCAGAGGGCATTTGATTGGATCAGAACACGAGCAGAGTCTCTAGAATGAGCTGAAAAACTGGATCCAGACTGAAGTGGATCCACAGCTGGACTCAGTTTCAGGTTTCTGTCCGTTTTGAAGCTGCATCACCCCCTGCAGGTCAGATCTAAACCCAGACCACGTCACAGTCTAAAACTTTATAAACTATTCACCAAAGTTCATGCTCAATGATCCAGGTATAAAACGACGGTTCCTTTTTTAAGCTGCGATGTTTCGTCCTTCATCCTGCGGTCATACTGACACCTGTATGAGGCTAACATAGAAACGTGCGTACACCTGTACCATAGAAACGTGCATACGCCTGTAACCATAGAAAT